ACAGCAGAGTTGTTCTCCTCGGATACAGTTGGATGCTGATGAGATTGCTGTTTGCTAAGAGTTTAGATGTGCGCTATTTTTACTATGTGGTGGAAGTTGCACCACTATGCGGAGTCCTGTACCTTCTCAGTGACCTTGTGAGTGACTCCAAAGTTCACGGCCTGTTCACATCTTTGGCAGAGGACGATGTAGCAGTTTCGACAGTTGTCATGGTGATGTCAGTCTGTGTCACGCATATCGCCTTTCTCGGCCTCACTGTGCCCGTGTTGGAAACATCAAGGAGAGGCTCCATTGGGTACATTGCTTCGCGCTCGGAGTCCGTGTTTAGCCAGTCGATGGACGAGTCGATTGACCAGTCGAATGAACAGGAGAATAAGGAGGAGGACGCGCTGGAGCAAAAAGAAGGAGAGGATGACGTGTGGGAAAAAGAAGAAGGAGAGGGGGAAGTCCTGCAAGCCACATGGAGGAGACGAGTGCAATTTTCCAGTGCGACGCGACAAGGAGGTCAATGCAGTTTCGAATGAAGACTGCCAAGTTATTTTACTCTCAATTCACTTCGCTAGAGAGCACTATCTCTTCTGCACACTCCTGTAACAGCGTTATGTGTCTCTAGAAATTGAGAATTACATTACTATTCATCCCCATACAACGAGCGGACACCTTCTACATACAATGTACTTCGAAATATAGACTGGTGGATTAGAAATATACAATGTGTTGGAGATGTTAAACAGTAGATAGGAGTTATTTCTTTTGTCTGAGCAGAGCTGATGAGCCTTCGCTGAATGCAGGTGTGAGTCTGCAGATTCTTCCACTTAGTCCTTGATTCTTTTCACATCATTGCGCACGGACACGCGCCAAAGTGTTCAGCTGTTACTTACATGTAAAATGACGTCAACGTATTTGTGGCCCGTCCGCTTCCAGAATGAGTCTTGAACTTCTAACTACTTGTGATGGTTTCGAAATACAATGAAGAACATTGTTTGTTCTTTCATTGTATCCTTTGTACAACATCTACACGTATCTTTTTCCGAACTCACTTTGCACACTTTCTCTTTTCCCAACTCCAATGTTCAGTGTACATACACAAACGGGAGATCCCCCCGATACTGTAAACCACCCGATATTCGCGTCAATGCATTTTCGCGATTTCTTAGAACCAGCGAGTTTGCGATGGCAAAAGTTTGCGAAGCACTGGGGTCTGGGGCCACCTACATGTACATACACCCACTATTCGCGATACGCTCTTCTCGCGAAAATAGCGAACATAATCCGCCACGAGTGTTAGGCAGCTCACAGTAGCCGGCAGCCTTTGGGTAATCCTGAAATAAAGATTATTATTGATTATTATCGAAACACACAGTCATCATCAGAGCCATCAACGCACATGCCATTCACTCTTGGCTGGTGTGTGTGTGTGTGTGTGTGTGTGTGTGTGTGTGTGTGTGTGCGTGTGTGTGTGTGTGTGTGGTGTGTGTGTGGTGTGTATGTGTGTGTGTGTGTTTGTTCGTGCCCATTTTCACAGTCTCTATTGTACGATTTTAAAAAGAAATTGAGAGGACAGTCCTGTATTTCTTTCGTGCCCTTTCCCATGGGCTCCTGAGAAATAGTCAATGCCTGTGTGGAATCCACAGATGAAAACTGTCAGTTCTGGATAGACCATGACAGGTAATGCGCGAATTAGTAATTGGCAGATTCTGCTACATCAGGGAGTCGTAAAAATTCCGATACATTTTACAACTCCCAGGAGCTCCGAAGGAACGAACACGTAACGTTATTGTCTGCATGTACTAGTAACTTCGTTCCTTGCATCCATGATACTAGCTAGTACTTGATAGAACAGAACAAGGTCCTGCCCAGGCCTAACTACATGTACTACTAGTTTGGGATACTCAGTACACCGACTCCAGCGAGCCGTCAGAGGTATACATTTACCTGAACATGTAATGATGCATAATGGTACTTGTAAAGTAAGTTAGTTCTGGCGCGCACAGAGCTCTCCTGGTGCTTGTAGTTTACAGTATTTGTATAATAGTTACAGTGTACTATGTACCTAGTCGGGTACTCTTACCGAAGGTGCAATATACAATTATAGCATGACAATTCATTATTGTAGTGACACGTCCATTATGGACTCTTGATTGTAACTGTAACATTACTAAACGACGTTGCCGCGTGCACGCACGCACGCGTGATGAAGTAAGCAGTTCGTATTTTAAAAGGCTAGTTATGACCCGCACTGGCAGCAGCAACAGACAGAGGACTGTAAAACGGTAACAACATAATTGTTCGCGTGTATCGTGCATGTCTGAGGCCGAGGTGAATGTGCGGAAACGAGCAATACAGACACTGAGACAGTAGAGACTCCTGCATGGTCATTGTACAGTACATGGCCATGAACAGTTATGAAACGAGTAAATACATGTACATGTACGTGTACTACTGGTGACATTCAGTACATCGCGATACGGGTCATTTTCTGTGATACTGATAGAACTTTGTAGAGAATGCCAGCTGCACACACACGTAATTACGATCACCAAGCCATGGGGATCTTGGACCTCACTCTACTACATGTACATGTAGGTATTTTATTTATTATTTATTGCAAACACCTCGAGGCGCAGTGCCAGTGGGACCACCGGCCAATGTGAAGAGAGTGGATGTTAACTTAAAAGTAGGGGTTGGGAGGGAAATAAGAAAAGTACAGTCAACAAGCGGGCTTTTGGCATCAGTGCATGCCGTATAACCTACATTGTACAGTGTACATTATGGCATGTGTATTTACATTAATACCACTCTTTTATACAAACTCTCATTTAATTAACGGAGATTTCACGCTTATATTAGACCTGAATATACAAATGTAAACCTGAACACGATAGTCAATATTATAAACCTGAATATAAACGCCTTTTTTAGACTTGAATGGAGGTTTGTATAAAGGCGGGTATAAATAAACTACAACCTATTCTTACTAGGCTGGTTACGGTACGTGGAGTATAAACTATCACCCAGACCTCGGCTTCGCCTCGGTTTGTCGCTTCGCCTCGGCTTGTGTTCAGTTTATATTGCACGTACAATGTACATGGCATGTACATGTACAGGTATAAACCTACATATCAGAGTAGTTTGTGTTGAACCTCCCCTAGCTCCTAGGACTGGGAACATTTGACAACAGGCTTGAGATCGGTGCAGCAAGACCAACGGCAGCTCTTACTCTGAGTCTGACCGTTGACATTACAATTTGTACTTGGAAGCACATGCATTACTATCAGATTCTGTTGATGCCACCCTCTTCTGAAGTTCATGGTAGCTGCAAGCGTTGTGACCGGGGAGAGGGCCAGACATACATGTCACGGTACATGTAAGGAGGAAAACTTCCTTCTGCCAGCGGAGAGGGCTCAACACAATGAATAATGTGGAGTACTATTAAACACAAAAGTCATAATGGAGGTTTACAGAGTTGTCGCAACTCGCAGTTTCTTGCTCAATGCAATCATCAGGCGACTATTACATGTACAGTGGGACTTGGCCAATACAAAGCATAGCCTAGCGATAGCTGCTGGTTGGTGTTTGTACATGTAGTATGTAGTAGTATGATGTACATGTACTCTCAGTTTCTTCCATTTCTAAAATTCCAGGTTCTTTATGGAAATATACCAGGAGTCCAGATACTCATTCTTCACCTCACCAGTCACCACGCAAGAAGACCAAAGCTTCACTTCAGAAAAAAGTTTGTTGCTAGACAACAGAACAAACGAAGTGAGCGAGCAGCAAGGAATGAACAATGCTACATGTACATGAATGAAAAAAAAAGGTCTACGCATTGGCGACAGTCATCGACGGCACGGAAACACCTGATTGTGGCAATACAGTAATACAGATACTGTAGCAACACCCGGACACTACACATTGTACACAAGCGTCGTGTGGTCTCGTCTGGTTACAACTAACAAGAAGTGACTTATCATTACAGTCATGATGTCATTATCGTGAGGATAGAAAGTTCGCAACCTCCTCAAACACCCCTGTGCCTAGCGCCTGTGGTACACGGCTTGGTCGTGGACCCGTGGTTCGTGGAAGGCAGTTTGTGAAACACGTCGTTGTACGTTTTTAGCACTCCCTACAAGGCTACATGTACATGATGTAGCCCAGCTCGAAAACCGTTTAGTGGAGGAACGAGTACCCAAACACGCTTGCTGGAGCAGTGGACATAGTGGAGGCCTGGGATCAGTGGGAAGACCCATGACTTGTAATTTACTTGTGACAGACCGCTTTCGCTTTCAACGACTCGTGTGTGGTGCTGATGGCGGACCGCGGAGTGGAAAATAATAATCCCATTATATTATTATTAATTAATGGTAACAGTTAGACGATGAGCACCGTACCGGTGCACCATGAACAACCGTGTCACGTGACTACTTGAACTGTTGAAGAACTAGTAAAAGTACTTGTACAATCAAAATAATGATACATGATTGTACAAGTAACATGATTCCTAGACTTGGACCATAGGCTAGCTCAATACAAGGGGCAAGAGCTCTACAGTTTGTGGACAGACTGCACGGGTACAGTATGGAATGATCATCCGCTACTATAGTACTAATCTAGCGATGTGTTGACTGAGTCTGTACTCAGACGCTGGGTGCTGGAGTAGGTGGGCAGGACGTGATAAACACACCTAATCGTTTTAGTGGGCTGGCAACCTCGCACAACCATGGACTCCTGTGGCCCGGTGGAGTGATTGTCACAGTACTACTACTTGTTGTGGTCTGGGACAGACGCCTTGGCCCTTGGCTTGCAGCTTGGCCCTTGGCCCGGATTGTGCACAGTCATGAACAGGATCTAGATTTTGTTGTTCTCATCCGAGGAAGTGTACTCGTAGGCACAGCAATAGACAGCATGTCAATGATGGTTATGTACACACTGATCTTGATCTAGCACAATGTACAAACTACAATCTAGTACTAGTAGTAGGAGCCTAGCGCCTAGCGATGGCGTAATAATTATTATTATTGTTGTTGCTGTGCTTGTGCTTTGTGTGTGGTTCTCCGGTCTGATCTGTGGTGTTGTTGTTTCATGATGCACTACAGCCTTACAGGCTACAGTGTAGATCTATTGTTTCGTCTAGACGTGAAGTGTACGACTGCCAACTAACGACAGTTACTTACGTAACCGTTTACGGTTACTTCTCAAGTCTTCTGCAGCTAGCTAGCCGAGAACGAAGCGGTGCGCCAACGACGACTATGACTGCATGCCAGCAACGAGAGAGCTTGAAAACTCAGGGCCCTAGCCTAGGCTATGCTTGTTTGCCTAGCTCATCATGAATGTTATTCGATCTGAGCATGCATTCGCCCGATACACTTCGCATACATACACATTCTTTGCTTCACGTCATGATCGATATCTTGCATGTATCTTTCTTGCTTGCATTTGAAACTATGAAAGCCCTACGTCTACGACATGACATGTCCACAGCTGTCTTTGATGGTATACGGTACGCGTATACCGTGGTATACGGGACATGTATAACGTCTTTTGCATAGCTACGGGAATAATAATTATTACGGTATTATCAGTCCTCAACTTTTGTCAGAGTTTCAGCAAGGGAGCCTGGCCTGGCACGGTTGGTTTGGCTCGTCAATTTTTTCAATTTTTTTCAGTTCCTCAACTGAACAGTTGAACGCGAGTCAAGACCGTATCAAGCGTGCACCACACGTCGTCTGCTGACCGTATTCAGCACTGGTAAATAGTCAGTTGGCAGTAACGGACGGTACCAGGAGAATGACCAGGGTCATACTGCCCAGCAGGTGGAAGGCGTTCTTCTACGTGGAGATATTCCTGGTGGTGAGCTCCGGACTGAGTTGGACGCTCGCACCCGACACGATGTACACGCTGGTGGGATACGAGGCGGAAACAGATGTCTTGAAAAACATCTCCTGGTCCGTCCGAGCAGATGATGACAGCAACCCCTGCAGGTGAGAGATGTATGTAGCTACACCCCAAAAATGGGTGTATTTTCTCTGGCGATCAAATGGGAAATTGGCTCAAAACATTGTCAAACTACTGCATGGCAACAACCTAGCAACATACATTTTCACCCGAATCAGATGAAATTTGGCTCACAACCGGCCTCTTATCCTTGCCTTGAGCGGATTGTATAATTATGTACGCTTCAATTTGGCGAACCTACCCCTCTTCTTCACATGGCCTTGGCCGACAAGGACGGCAAGTCACCAACACAGCTTTGGCCATTGCCGACAAGGACGACAAGTCACCAACACACCAATGTTGATGTTGCCGATGCCGTCTTCCGTAGAGCTTGCGAACGAAACCCAGAAGACACTGTCTACGGTAGCTTGGATCAGGATCATGGTGGCAGATACTGCATCAGCTCCGACGCCAACCAGTTCGATCGGTAATGACGGCAGCTCACTGTTCACCGCCAGCGCACGAGTCGTAAATCCAAGCCCGCCCCCTCACGGTTCTCCTTGTTCCTCGCAAACAGGAGATAGTACTGAATCATGTACTACGTCGTGCTCACTAGGCACAGCGAAATCCTGGTCTTCATCCTGCTTGATACTCGCGATCAGCTGACTGCACTGGGAGTAACACCTAGTTCCTAGCGTAGATCTACTCTTCTTCTTCGCACTTGAAAAAAACCGCCATGTCGGAGGTGTTCCTGGTCCTACTTGGCGCACTCAAATTTTGTTGCGCTGCTCAACCTTGCTTGAGAAAAATACCAGCATGGGTGATTCCGAAAGTGTTCTTGACGCTGAACCTGAAAATCGGGGGGGGGGGGAATCCCCTAAGATGCCGTTTTTAAACTTGAAAGTCGCCTTCCATTTCTAATTTGACTGATCGCAATGGCCTAATTTCGCCGTGCGCCGACCCAACCCCCCCCCCCCCACATTGGACAGCTAAAAACCTCAGGAAGCCACTGGTGACTTCAAAAATCCCCCAAAACTTACGCTATCCTACAGTCTGTTTCAAAAAGATTAGGAATCAAGTTTGGGTCTTAAAAAGTATGAAGATAAGGGAAATTTGGACAACAAAGTACATAAAATGGCTTGTTAGGGCACGCAAATTGTTCTGTGAAGGTTTCGGAACAATTGGACCAACCGTTAAGGAGTTAGAATTTCGGCCAGGTTTCTGGCCTTTTCCCATGGTTTATAATTTGCCCTGGAAGCCAGTATCGATTTGTTATCAAAACCCACGATTTATCCCTTCCTTTTTGGCCTTGTGGTTATGAATGCTGTCTGCTGACCATGAAGTTGTGAGTGCAAATCCCAACAAATCTTCAAGTCAAACATTTTTTCTTCATTTTTTCATTGTTTTGGTGATCACGCTGGTACAAGACAAAGAAGGTGGCTGCGCCAAATGACTTGTTGTTGGAGCTTGCGTTTCCTGCCGAACTGACTGACACTTGACTGGCTCACGCCATGTGAAGTTGTGAACACACACAACACTGAAATCGTGTGAGTGAACACGGAAGTCATTGCGCTGTAGCTACGTGTTGTTGAATACACCGGTACATCGATCGATCGATTTCTGTTTGAGAATTATTTTAGTATTTGAAGATCGCCAATTTATTTGAATTTAGTAGTCAACGCCGTCTTCTATCAGCTTTCACACGAATTTAGTAGTCAACGCCGTCTTCTATCAGCTTTCACACGAATTTAGTAGTCAACGCCGTCTTCTATCAGCTTTCACACGAATTTAGTAGTGAACGCCGTCTTCTATCAGCTTTCACACGCGTCTGCTTTTCTCAAAAATGTTGTCGAAGTCACGGATAGCTTTGCCACATCAAGGCCTTGGGAATGAGTCTGTGTCGATGCCGTTTTCGTCACATCGTGAGAGTAAATTGCATCCGCGGCAGCTCAAAGAATCTATTTGGTCACAAAACGAATTGGGACGCATCCCGCTCGTCAACAATTTACCACACTTTCGACATGTCCTCGACCAGCTCCTCTCTGACAGTCTGACTCCATATCGATACGAGGAAGAACTCGTTTGTTGTAAACCAGACGAACATGTACGAGTACCGACGTGAGTGAGTTGTCATTTTTCATGCTTTCGCGCGGAATATTTCTTCGAGTTCACAGTGAGTTTTTCCAGGCAGCGCTCATACGGTAAGACGGCAAACTCCCCGGGCGATCGCCAGGATTGCTAATCTTTTTGAAACTGACTATAGCGCACTGGCCCAGAATGGGCCGTCATCGCGCGACCACGCTTTTCTGTGTAGCGCCCGTAGAAACCCCTCGAACCCAGAACGTACCGGGAAACCATACACTGACATGTCGTTACAACTTGTAGGTTAAGTTTTAGCACATAAAGTGTGGTAAATGACTTCTTGGAAGTTGTATCGAACGCGATCATAATTACATGTATGGGTTGCAGGCAAAAAATGACAACAACAAAGGACCAAGGCATTCTATTCTCAACAACAAAGGACCAAGGCATTCTATTCTCAACAACAAAGGACCAAGGCATTCTATTCTCAACAATGAAGGACCAGGGCCGCATTCTATTCTCAACAACAAAGGACCAAGGCATTATATTCTCGACAACGAAGGACCAAGGCATTCTATTCTCAACAACAAAGGACCAAGGCATTCTATTCTCAACAACAAAGGACCAAGGCATTCTATTCTCGCAGCTCCCAGGTTCATACAGAGGGTGCAATCTTCACTCGGAGAAGAAAATGCCTTGATCCGTTGTTGTTATTGGTTTTTGGTTTGTTGTTCCAGCTCTGACCCCTGCTGGGTTATTGACCTCTCTGTGCATACTTGGGGCTTTCTCCTCTGGTGTATAATGGGTTATGCAGTGATGTCACTATACCCTAAAGTGGGCCCTTGCATTTCGCAAGGCGTGGAAGCCCCTGAGGGATTAGCAAGACTGATTTAGACATACATGTAATGCAATTAAATGCACTGTGGGTCTGCAGTGGACAGCATGGTGAATGAACTTGTAATTGTGGCAGTTGTGCATGCTTTGCGAAATCTTGCCATGTTGTGCCTGTGTGTGTGGTACATGCATGATTGTATCATGTGAGAGCAGATCTCCTGTAACACCTCGCCATTACGCAGCCATGACAGCTGGTCAGGTGGTGGGCTTTGCTTACGGCTACACGTTGCTACGCATCATGCTTAGCAGTAGCTTGGACTTGGACATGTTCAGATTCCTGCTGGAAGCCATGACGCTAGGTGATGTAGCACAGGTGAGACCGTGAGACACTATGAGTCATGTGACGGTTGACTAGGCTTCAACCAATCCTTATACAGCTGGGGTCTGGAGACCATACACACAATCCCTGTGGCCCGGTGTGGGTCTGCCTTTCGGCGTGCTGTGATGAGATTGTGCATCTACACGTATTGGAATAGCTGATACAGTCAAACAGCCTGGCATGGACGACCCACAGTCATACCCAATTTCATATACGGGAACTGGTGTTAGTTGCTGTGGTAGAGAAAGATGTCGTGTAGCTGGATATACTTCAATCACAGCATGTTGATTTGACAAAATTTGTTTGTATGGTTATTTCTGTCGTGCAGGTAGCAATTTCTGCTCATCTGCTGATACGCGGGATAGCAGTGCAAACCACTAGTGCACTGTGTAGCAATGCTCTCACACCACTATGTCAAGCACCCAGCACAGGAGGTCTGGCGCTTGCAGCCGGATTTGCAACCTTCTTCGGATTAATGCGGGCTTACTTCTTGTTCTGCCGGCTCCCCAGCTTGCCAGCACAGACTGATAAATCAGACTAGCTGCAGAGAACTTGACACTACCTGATTGGACATTCTGTTTGTACTGTTGAAAGTTTACTCATGAGTTTCCTGTGCATGAACTCACCGTTTTGGACCATTAACCTGCGACACTTTTTGCCCAACCATGGGCCTACATTGTATATTGTACATTGTATATTCTGACCCGTGAAACCCTTACCCAAAGCACTGCACTGATTATCCCGGTCGGATCAACTGGTTTTGCTAGTATGTGTATGTGTAGCTGTAATAAGAATGTAATACTTTGATATTGATTTTGATTGACGTTGATTTTGTGTTTCTCATTTTGTTGCAATCACTACTTCTCCATGCCGGTTTCTTTTTTTTCTTCTCCTCCCCTTCTCCCTTCCTTGCCGTGGTTGGCTAACACCCTCTCTCTTTGTATTGGCCGGTGTTCTCACTGTGCTATGAGATGCTGTAATAAATAAATAATAAATAAATAAATACTGAGTGTTGTCAACGCGTCAAAACCATTCATGTTATTTTGTCTCCTGATTACAAACGAAAAGGTCAAGAAACAACCAAAAACGTTGATTCCCTTTGATAGAACCGTTCCTTCTCAGGCCAGAATTAAAATCATCTGAGTCCTCTGGAAGACCGGAAAAGCAAGTGGTAGTATGCTAGTTTATTTATTTATTTATTTTAAATATTGAACACCCACTCACTATCTGGGGGATCTCCTATTCGTGTACTGAAGTGTGGTGCTAGGAACATAGTACATGTACAGGAGAAGAGAGAAAGTCACGGCGCAAAGAGAGTGTGAAAAGATGGGTTTAGAAAAAAAGAAACACAGGGAAAGAACAATCATGTAACCAGTGCTGTCGAACTGATACTGATGCAATGTGAATTTGAATTTGAAAATGACGCTTGAATTCAGGGAATCTAGAGTTGTCAATCGGGGTGGAAGACATTTCCAAAGAGAACCAGTTTTCTGTAGGAACAGGGATGAAAAAATGCGACCATGTGAGTTAAAAATGAGTTTTTGGGCCGGGCACTACGTGGTATGGTTATCGCAAAGCGAGAGAGATTTTCTGGTGGAAATTGATGTACTTAAATGAAACAACAAGAGAAATAAAGATACGACGAAACTGCAGGGATTCTAAGTGACACAATTAATCTATTCAAATTCGATTTTGGTTCGTAGATATCAAAGGTTATTTTCACAGACTTCAAGAGTCGCCGGCAAACCTTAATTAACCTGGAGTACGTCAAGGGACTCAATTGCCGGACGCACATAAGACCTATACGAGTCGTACATGTACAAGAGAGCAATATGGGACGATGGTAAATGTCGGCCCATGACGCATAACAGATTGACACGTTGCTGAAACTTCCTGAAGATGGTGTGGAAGTGATCATGGAACTTCAAACCATCACTGAGCTGTACGCCGAGATGCTTAGCAGAACGTCCAGATGCGTCGTCCATAAAACAGAGGAGGAGTCAGAAATGTCATAATTTGAAAAGTATAATAATGATGATTTGTTCCGGAGAAAATTTCCCAAACATATTCTGAGCCCAATGCTGGCAGCTGGCCAGATCCTGCTTGAGGTGGGACATGTTCTCATCTAAGGAGATGGATACATCATGAGCATTGATTTTAGAAGAGTGACATCATCAGCAACAATAAGGGGTGAGCTGTGCTTTACTACATGTACATGTACATGTATATCAGGAAGGGAATTGACGAACTAAAGAAAAAGTGGAGGGGCAAGGTGCGAACCCTGGGGGACACCACGTGCACAGCTTAGCATAATATTATTATTGTGAAGAGTGAGTTCCATCCAGCTTCGCATTTGGACTAGGGTCAAGTAAGTAGGACCCAAACCAGGCGTGGCTCTGGTGCCATGAATGCATTCAAGTGGCCCAGGAGCGTAGGATGATGTACTTTCTCAAACGCTTTCTGGAAGTCGAGAAATACACAGTCAAATCTCTGACCTCTATCAGAGCGACGGGCAACCGGATGTGTCAAAAGAATGACTTGATCCGTGGCTGATCTTTATGGAACGTTCGAACTTTTAAGTAGCGACTTCTAAACGAATTCAAATAAAAGAAACAAACAAACAAACAAACTTCGGCGGTATTAGTAACTGGAGTTGATTGTGCTTACGTGGAACACAACGTTTCGTTCCCTTCTCATCATGGGTAAGCTCAGCAAATAATGGAAAAATGTCGAATACAGCAAATTTATAGAGCTAAGGCAAAAGCGTAGATCAAAACCCCACACTGTACGTGTGAAATAACGTGAAATCCAGTGGAACAGGTCAAGAATGGGGTGAAGGTGAAGAGATGACTAAAATAATATGAAAACATGAATGAGGAGTACTGGTAGTATTCCTGACACGTTCACCAGGATATCCGCCAAACAACTGAAGAGACAAAACATTTTCCTTCTGAACACTATAGTTCAGGGATGACTTATATTACGGATATACAACGCCTCCGAAACAGACAAAATTAATGTTATACAGATCTGCCACGGGCCAAAACTGAGAAAGCATCATCTCTGTACAAAATGATCACAACTACCACTAACCGACAAATGGCTATTGATATACATGTATAGATCTCGTAAAAGACCTCGGAGGACCTCGGTCTTTTACTCGGTCTATATATCCTGTATAGACCTCCTAACCGGTCTATAATCTACATGTATAGACCCCTTTCCGGATAGAACACAGTGCGCGTTGCATGGCAACGGGTGACGTGCAAAAATGTTTGGTGGGCAAGAAGTTCAGCCCAAACTGCAGTGAAAGTAATTTTTCAACCAGGAAGCAACAATGTCTGCTGTCATCCCTGACTCTGCTGCCGCTGAGCAGCCACCACCCTTGCCTCAGCCACTGGCTGTCCTTGCTGAACAACTTTCAAAAGGGTCCGAAGCCAGCGATGCCGATTTTGTTGGGGTTCAGACTTCTCTTGCGACGCTGAAGGTGGCCGAACTGAAGGAAATTGCCAAATTTCTGGATGTTCGGTTGACTGGAGCAACAAAGAAGGCTGACATCGTGGAGCGCTTGGTGTCGATGTCCAAGATTGGTTTGGCTGGTGCTGCTGATGCGTCGTCCTCTGGTGCTTCCGTTGGACTGCAGTATATAACTCAAGACGTTCGGGGCACTTTGTCTTCGTTGCCTCGTTTCAACGAGGTGCAAGACTGGTGCAAGGAGTTTCGTGCTGCTGTGGTGCGGTTCCACTTCATGGATTTATTGACGTACTTGGTCTATGGACGAGACAAGACGTTTGATATGGAGAGCATGAAGGCATTTAGGTGAGTAATGAACATGGGCGGTGTGGGTACGTTGTGATAGTAGGCAGTTTGAATTCGTAATCTCTCAAGACAAAGTCAGTGTGTGTCAAGTTTTGTTGAAAGACCTACTGTAACTGAGGTCAACTAGCATTTTCGAATCAGTTGCCATCAATGTCTAATCAGTGAAGGAATTCAGCTAGGGAACCCCTGAATTGCACATCCCTAATATTGTCTCTTTTCTCCAAATGTGTCTTTGGAAATTTTGTTGGCAACAGGTCTTTGAAGGCGTACCAATTTTTTGCCGATGGCTTTGTGAAGAATGTGTGGAGCAAGCAATATCCTGCATCTGGGGAGAACGGTGTGGCAATCTCCTATCTCCGTGCTTACGTCCACCATTCCTTGTCGTGTGATACACCGCTCACCGTGTATGTGTCGTTGAACACTGAGACTGGTGAAGTCTACGCTGCGCAATGCAGCTGTATTGCCGGGTAAGTGTTTTCACAGAAACGCACTACGAGTTGGTGTGTTTTCTTCAGTCCAAATGTGACAGTTGACCTGCGGCACTGATAAATCCTATTATAACTCTTCCTCCTTACCTGTGCTGTGATAGTTCCTTTGTAGTGACATGTATTTTGCAGATGATTGTTATAATAACTTCTTTGTTCAACAAGTTTGTGATGTGATGAGTTCTGACAGCTCTATCTGACGTTGGCATATATTTGTTGTCTCCCGTGCATGGTGTGCGTGTGCGGTTGTTGTTTATGTTAGGCTGGGAGAGGCGTGCAATCATGTTGCTGCCCTACTCTTCTTCATTGAATCCGCTGCAAAAAGGAATCTAGTGGAGCTACCCGTGGAGTTGTCTAAAACGTCACAACCTATGCGCTGGAATCAGCCTCCAAAGAAGCATGTCGATCCTCAGCCACTCGCCAATATGGAGTTTGTGAAAGCTTGCCATGGCATGACTGATGATGAAGTGGAGAGGAAGCAGCTGCGAGCGGAGTTTGATCCCCGTGCACCGTCACACCGCCAAGTCACATCTGCTGACGCACTCACCTTGCAGGAGGCATTAGCAGCGGGAAAGGCATCAGCCAAGAACTGTGGGTTCTTCCATTTCTGGGAAGTCGAAGACCAGTCATCAGGACTTGCTGCTACTCCAGTTAGCCAACCCAAGGACCTTTCGCCATTGGTCCTGTTCCATTCTGACAGGCTTCCAGGTGGAACGAGTGAAGATGCCCTTGGTCGATATACCGGACCACTGTCCAAGTACGGTGTATCCCAAAAGGAAGTGGAAGACTTCACCAAAGGCCAGACAGATAACTCGTGGTGGTTCGACCTACGTCATGGGCGCCTAACTAGCTCACGATTTGGTGACATCGTTCGCTCTCGAGCCCAGGAGCCAGTCTCGCTGCTGGCCGGTATCATGGGATACACCACCATTTCCGCTTTGCCACCTGCCATGCGATGGGGAGTGGAGAATGAGCCCAGGGCGAGGGACATGTACCTCAGTGTGGCACTCGAAGATGGAAAGAACATCACCGTAAGAGAGTGTGGTCTTAGCCTCCATCGTGACTACCACTTCATTGGTGCGAGTTCTGATGGAATCGTTGTGGAGGAGCTTGAGAGCGGCGTGGTGGAGCGTGGCTGCCTGGAAATAAAATGCCCCTTCTCCATCCAGGGCACATCTATTGTTAACCTCACGCCAACTCGGATCGCCCAGCAATTCCCTGGCAAGTCATTCTTGGAATGCCACGCGGACGGGTCAGCCCACTTATGCAAGAATCACAAGTACTATGACCAGGTGATTGGTGAGATGGCGGTCATGGATGTGAAGTGGTGTGACTTTGTGGTGTTCACATGTGCTGGCGTGCTTGTAGAGCGTATCATGTTCGATGACGCTCATTGGCAAACCATGCTCATGAAGTTAACATCCTTCTACGAGCAGTTTGTTATCCCAGAGCTGTGCTCTCACAAGCTGTACCTTTCAAAGTACAAGTCATGAATGACAAGAAAAAATATTTTTGTGTTTATATTCTGTACATAGGGATTTCAATCTATTTTGCTTCGCTAGATTTTTTGGAACTTTGTACAGCAATGCCCCATCTTCTGCGAGGGATATGCTCGGAACCTTCTCATGTTCCCAGCATTGAAACTTAATTCTGTACATAGCGGTTCCGATCGATTTTTCTGTTATTGTGCGGAATTCTATGGATGACATCGCACACATCCTTGTACCTGTCTGTCAT